AAAATATTTGCAAAAGATATATCTGAATAAGGACTGCTACCCAAAATGTACAAAGAACTCTTAAAACTTAACAAGAAGAAAACAAACAACACAATTTAAAAATGGGCCCAAAACCTTAACTGGCACCTCCCAGAGAAGATATATAGATGGCAAATAAGCATAAGAAAAGATGCTCCATATCATATATGTCATCAGGGAAACGCAAACTAAAACAACAGTGAGATACCTCTATATACCTTTTAGAATTGCCAAAATCCAGAGCACTGACAACATCAGATGCAGACAGATGGAGCAAGAGGAACCACTATTCATTGCTGATGGGAATGTGTAATGGCATAGCCACTTTGGAAGATATTAACGGTTCGGTGGTTTCTTATAAAATTAAACATATTCTTACCATACAATCCAGCAATTGTGCTCCTTGGTATGTACCCAAAGGAGTTGAATACTTAAGTCCACACAAAAGCCTGCAGATGTTTATGTAAACTTTATTCATAATTACCAAAACTTGGAAGCAACCAAGATGTCCTTCAGTCAGTGAATGGATAAACAAACTGTGGCACACCCAGACAATGGAATATCATTTGATGCTAAAAAGAAATGAGCTATCAAGTCATGAAAAGGAAGGTAACTTAAATGCACAGTACTAAGTGGAAGAAGCCCATCTGAAAAGGCCACCTAGTGTATTATTTCAACCGTATGACATTCTGGAAAAGAAAAACTCATGGAGACAATGAAAACATCAGTGCTTACCATGGGTTAGCGGGTAGGGAGGGGTGAATAGGGGGAGCACAGAGGATTTTTAGGGCGGGAAAACTACTCTGTATGATTCTAGAATGGTAAGTATATTAATATGTCATCAGTTTGTCCAAAGCCATGAAATGTACAACACCAAGAAGTTGTTGTACACTCTGGGCTTTGGGTGATAATGATGTGTCAATGCAGGTTTATCAGTTGTAATAAAGCTACTACTCTTGGTGGGGGAGATTGGTAATGGAAGAAGCTCTGCATGTCTGGTGGAAGGAGTTTTTTGAGAAATCTCTGTACCATCTGTTTACTTTTCTATAAACCTAAAACTGCTCTAAAAATTAGTCTGTTAAAAAATAGAAAACAAAAGAAACAAAAAAGCAGTACAAGCTCAATGAATGCTGACGTGTCGACATGGTGCAAAGCACTTTCCCTACATTATTTCACTCGATCCTCACCATGATCCAATGAGATAGGTACCATTTTCATCCCTGCTTTACAGATGAGAAAACTGAGGCACATACCATTGACGATCTCCTGACTAGTGAACAGTAGAGCTAAGACATCCACCCAGGCAGACTGGCTCCAAAACCTGTGCTCTTGGACGATATTGTCTACAGTTTTTACAGGTTTATTTAGAAATCTCGCATACATAATTTAGAGGCTCTATGGAACTCTTGATCCCTTGCTTCCCCAAGTCCCCAAACAGATGCCAAGAATATTCACTCCAGTGTTGTGTTGTCACGGGCCAAGCATGCCTCCCGTTGTCCTGCTGTGGCGCTTTTGGAGTTGGGGAGAGGTGTGAGGGCGGGGAGCACACAATTCTCGTCCATGCCTTTGTATCCCTGAGCCTTCATTTCTTTTCTCAACCGTGAAATGTCTTTTGAGCCAAAACAGGCTAAATTCAGTTTAAAAGAACTCAAGAGGACATAATATTTGTTTTATAATATTCAAACTTGAGTAAGACACAAACCTATAAAGTCATTAGCTGTATTATTATTGAATGTTTTAAAATAAAATAATGGTCATGCACATTTTAAAATTAGAACTGCAGGGTGGGTACTATAAAATGGCCATCATATATCCCCAAATTCTGAAGGCTACTCTGAATTTCAAATGTTTCCCGCTATTGGTAGGATTCTGTACTAGTTTCTTTAGTCCAGAAAATATAATCACCAAACAATAAAGAGTCTTTCCTGCTTTCTTTGGATGTTAAACAAGGTTTCTTTGCATTTATAAGAATTAAGTTCTGGTGAAAACAGTGGCACCTGAGGGACTAACATTGCCGAGGCTGTGCTTATGCCTTCTACTCTGACTGCATTTGAATGGATACAAAAGTGTTAATTTTTAATATATTAAAAATGCACAGGTGGTTTTAGGGAGGAAGAATGGTGAAGCATTTTTGCTTCTTGGAGGACCAGGAGGGGTACTTCCTGGCATGCAAGCTCATTGTTGGCATTGAATCCTCTTGGCTAGCCTGGGTGCATCACGGACAATACCTGCATGAACTCCGTCCATGCAGCGTGTGCAGCGTTGGCATGGCCATGGCCATGCTCCCTGTGTCTGGTCTTGCGTTGACTCCTAACGATGAGAACATTTGGCCTTTGTCTTAACACTGTTTCTCCCCCTAGGGAGTGTCGGCTATCAGGTGGCTGAAGATGGGGGGTTTGTTGGTGGGCTCTGGAGCTGGATTGCTGGTCTTCTGTAAAAGCCCCAGCTACAAACCCATCAAGTAAGTTCTGGGTCTTACAGAGTTGGGATGAGCAGAGACCCATTAGAGGGAGATTTGCTTAAAGCCAGCAACTCAATGATACTGGCAAAGTGATATCTGGCTAAAGATTTTTATCTTGCTTTTAAAGTGGATGGTTGGAATCACAATGGATGGTGGTTTCTTTGCTAGTAAAAAGACAAAAGCTTATGTTGAATCAAACCCAAGTAGTCCACTATTGCCCAGAGAGACACTGCCCATTTAACAAACACGTAAGTTTTTATTTAACTAACATTGAGCCATGACAAAAGAAATATGATGTTATAAACTTATCCAACAAATAACCTCAAATTTTAGACATTCAAAATTGCTTTTTTCAATGAAATTTATCATGCCAATGAGTGCCTATTGTGTGAGATGCACTGGGATAATAGTTAATATGTTCGAATACAAGTTTTAATACAAATATCCAACATTCACCCATCATTTCTATTTGCCAGATATTGTGCTGTGTACTTTTCATGGCTCCTCTAATTAAAACAAAATGAAATCAAACCTTATACTTTGCCATTGACAAGTACTTATTGACCAATGTGCTGGATGCTATTGATAAAATAAAGAAAAATAAGATACAGTCATTGTCCTCCCAGAACTTACACTCTGGTTTGGGGATAAAGTAGATACACATGAAAAAAGTCACTACAAGACAAGATAGTTTATAAGCACAAACTTCCTGGTCCAGATAAAGTAAAATATTATATGGCTGTTGCAGAGAAGGTCAGAAAAGGAAGTGATCTTTTTGGGATGGAGTGATCAGGGAAGACACTTCACAGAGGAGCGGAGGCCAAACTTGAACTTGGCTTCAACGAAAGCCAGACAGCTTGGACGTGCTCTGTATGGCCTCTGCTGGCTCCCAGCCAGGGGCAGTAGTATATGCACTGCAGAAATGAGCATCAACCATGTTCATTCAAGGAAGTCTGTGTTGAGCACTCACTATGTACCAGGTGCTATTCTAGGTGCTTGAGATATCTTATGTCTTACCTTGTAGCAGGAGGGAAAAGACAATGAATAATAAACAAAATAATCAAGGAAAGTACATACTATTAAAGGGTGATAAGTACAATGGAGAAATATGGAGTAGGATATACAGTAAGGGGAATTAGGGTTTGAAGAGGGGCAGGGGACAGGTTGCAATTTTAAATTTAGTGGTCAAGGTAGGTCTTATTGAGAATATTTTTGGACTAGTTTTGTGTTTGTATGAAACGGAATAAGAGAAGGAGGTGGCTTAAGAACAATGTTGGAAGCCTTCCAGGTAATTATTTTTTTTCTTTTTATATAGCATGGCATTGTGGATTTTAATTTGCATTTTTTGGTTGATCATCTTTTCATATTGATTAGCCATTTGCTTTTCCTCATTGTGAAGTGCCTATTTATGTTTTTACCTGTTTTTCTATTGGGCTATCCTTTATCTTTTTATTTTTTATTTTTTTGAGATAGGATCTTGCTCTGTTGCCTGGGCTAAAGCGCAGTGACATCATCATAGCTCACTGCAACCTCAAACTCCTGGGCTCAAGTGAATTTCCCAAGTAGCTGGGACTACAGGTGCACACCACCATGCCCAGCTAATTTTTAATTTTTTTATAGAGATGGGGTCTCACTCTGTTGCCCAGGCTGGCCACAAACTCTTGGCCTTTGTTGCCCACTGTGGGCTAGTGTACATTGCTTCCATTATCTCTAATCTTCACCACAACCCTATAAAGGAGGAATTATTCCGTGATTGAATAAACTGAGGCCAAATCTTTCTGACAACTTGTCCAGAGTCACAGACCTCTAGTTAGCGCAGGAGCTGGGATGTGACTTGCGGTCTTCTTTTCTTCATTAACTGTTCTATGTCCCACCAACAAACAAATCTCTCTAAAACACTGTCTTTTTCATGCTGGCTCCTTGCATAAGAACCTCCACTGAATTCTTATTGTCCAAACTAACTTAATTGCAGAGCAAGGTTGGGTTTCTAGGGCCTCATTCATTTATATATCCTTTTTAAAAAATAAAATAAAGTTCATACTCGTTGTAGGGGAGGAGGGAGAAATCTGAAATGTGGAAGAGGAGAAAACAACCCCTAAAGGTTCTGGCAAAGATAA